CATTATGTGACATCATGCAATCAAATGAATCTGCTTCTGCCTGGTGGGCAAAAGGCAAATATGTATTTGAAGTCAACCGATGCCAGCCATGCGGAAGAGAAAGAATACAGATGCTGTCATCCGTTTGGGGGCCTTGTCGAGCTTCTAGTTGCTGCTCCAAGTCCTTTCTCTCAACTTCCCACCTTTTATCTCGTGCTGCAAGCTGCTCCTTCAAGCACCCCACTCTTCCATCAAATTTTTGTTAAGCACAGACGAAACATGACGAAACATACGGACCTGCGTCTGAAGCTTTAACTGCTCAACGTCACCTTCCAATTGATCAATGCGACCTGAAACAGCTTCTCAACACTCGAAGGCAGAGGTTCGACTAGTCTAATCTGCTTCCGAGATAAGACCACAATATTTCTGGTCAATACTTGTCAAATCATTCGGAAGTCAAAGAAGTACGGATGCTTTCCGCCTTGTCGGGCTTCTAGTTGCTGCTCCAGTTCTTTTTTCTCCTCTTCCCCACTTCTATCTCGCGCTGCAAGCTGCTCCTGCAAAACCCCCGGTCTTGACAGCTAAACCGCAAACATTCTTCACAATCTCCCAAACTCTGGTCAATTCTGCAAATTTGCACCTTTGTCTGCAGCATCAAACGCTCAACTTCACTCTGCAAGTCATCGATGCGGCCTGACAACAGCTCTTCAACTCGAAGACAAGGGTTGGACCCATGCTGACAGCTGCGCAATCAGCCAAAAGTTCAACATGGTCGCACAAAGGATACTGACAAGCTACCAACAAAGCACCGGCCTTGCTTGCCAGGCAACGAGCACACACACACACACCAGTTACAAAGATATCGAGCCTTCGGTTTTGATTCTGTTATGTTATGGTATGGCACAAGACTTCAAGAGGCTGGCCTTGTCGAGCATCTAGCTGCTGCTCCAAGTCCCTTTTCTCCTCTTCCCAGCTTTTATCTCGCACTGCCAGTTGCTCCTGCAAGGCATCTGAAGAGTAAACAGCAACCTGGCGCAAATATACAACGCGCGCCTTTGTTTGCAGCTTCAACTGCTCAACTTCACTCTCCAAGTCGTCTAAGCGACCTAGCAGGCGCTGCAAATTCAGTCAGTAGGCTGCTGACAGAATCGCCGAAAAGGGGAAAACTGAGCATGCCGAATTAGACACAATTCATTGCTGGGCAACCAAAACTTGAGCTTGACTCCTTGACCTTCAACACCTCTGACACTACTATATACTATCACCAGAACAAGAACGCACAACTGCCCAGAACGGTGAGCAAACTGTCGCCCATGTTTGTCGAAAGCTTCCCCTGAATTCCAAGCATAGTTGTAGTTCATCTAAACAGCTCCTGTCTAGCCTTGTCGATCATCCACTTCCTGCTGCAAGTCTTTCTTCTGCTCCTCCCAATTTCCACGCTCCGTCCCAAGCCTCTCCTGCAGTTCGTCTGTGTCCTGCATCCACGGAGTTCTTGCTAAACCCTCCCCGTGTACAACAAATTTGGCACCTTGGCCTTTTGCTGAAGTTCACTTTCCAGCTGATCAATGCGGCCTGAACACTCGGCGTGCCGACACACCAAATGATGAGCCGAATGAGGTCTGCAGACTGCAGGAGGAGTCTGTGAACTTGCAACTTCTTTTATACTTGGCAGCGTTCTGCGTCAATTCGGGACAGCTTTTGACGTTGAAGAGTGTTGCCCAAATATAAAATACAAAGTACTGACTGACTCACAAGCATGCTCTTGCCAAACCAAAGAAACAATATCATACATCTTACATCATAGATCATCTGTCCACCCGGCCCGGCAAACATTTCGACTATCTAGCCGATGCCCCTACAACAATGATCAATTTTATGCAGATCCTGTCCTGTGCGGCAGCATGTGTGCTTTGGCATCACTCTGCCGACTGTTGTTGATGATTTGGCCCAAAAAATCCGTCAACCTGTTCTGCTTCCTTGAAGCTCCCAGAGGCACTGGAAGGCAGCTAGCCTTGTCGGGCACCGAGTTGCTGCTCCAAATCATTTCTCTCCTCTTCACTTGGGCCTGAAAGCAGCGACGGCAGCGCTTCGGCAGCTCGGTTTCAACAAGTCTTGGATTGGCTGAAAGAGAAACCTATGGCCTTGTCGAGCTTTCCAAGCCTCATCCCTTTCCTCATACAGGGAGCATCTGTGTGATCTGTCCCAAATGTGGTTATGAAAACTAGTATATAGCTAGTAATTTGTAGTGAGGGTGTCTTTCATATGCCCTGCTGCTTGAGATCACCATGATGACCTGCGAAGAAAAAACACCCGTGTCATGCCGTGCCCAGTCGCCCGGCAACAAACAATAAGATTTTGCCCAAGTGTCTCTGTGGAGCTCCTCCAGCTGATGTTGGGCATCTGCCAGCAAGCACTTTGTCTTACCAAGCTCCTGAGGGTAAGACTTCCACAGTTCTTTCGTCGGACCGAACACGAACAACTAAGCCACTACAATGATCTACAATGTGTGAATCGTAGTGAAACAAGCGGCCCAATATTATTGAGCACGTTAAGGACATCACTTTGCTTTACAGGTAGCACATGTCAAGAATCTCCCGTCCCTCGTATCAAGAGCTGTCCTCACGCAAGCCCGAAGCATCCTTTCCTGTATTTGGGAACATGCCCCATCCATTCTGAACACGTTTTGCAAAATGGGACTGACTGCACAGCAAAGAAGTATGCCCATTTGACAACCAACAAAGAGCTTTATGCTCGACAGGGCTTCGCCTGCGGCGTCTTCTTGGGTGCAAGCCCACTTCTCCTCTTGTAGTGTGCTGACACGTGACTGGAGCTCCTGTCGTTCTGCACGTGCAGACTCCAACTCCTTCTGGAGGATTTGGCTGGTATTTTCGGTCGTTTGCATGGCAACCGCGACCTGACCCGCAGTCAATCGGAAGTCCTCAGCCATTGACTTGAACTTGTGCGACACAAATGCAACTGGTGGCTCTAGGATTCCAAGATCTTCAGAAGCCCTCTGATTAAGGCGAAGTTTCCCTGATCATGGTCTCCTTCTCTTGCAACTGGTTTTCCATCTTCTGCAGGCTTGCTTTCAAAGCCTTCAGCTCTTCTTCCATTGCAAGCTTCACCACCTCAACAGTTTGGAATCCCATGAGGTCAACATGCTCGTTTCAAGTCATGGCACGAGTCATCGTGCCAGAGCCGATGTAGATGTTTCAACATGTTTCCTTCTTGATCCGTGGTGAGCATCTTCAAACAAACACAAACACACAAATAAACAAATTCAGTACGCACTCACGCACCCTCCCAACTTGATGGATGTCTTTCTCAGGGCCCAAGGATAGTCCAAGGAACTTCCACTCGCCAAAACTCGTTTTGAAGCTCATCTGCGCGAACCGCTGCTGTCATTGAACTTTCTTTCAGGTTTGCTTGCTCTTCCTCTGCCGTTAGCTTCCTGAGAGACACGACGCATCACGGATGAAGATAACAACTGGACGATGCTGGGTCAAACAAAAAATAAATGAGTCAAGCTTACCATTCTCACAGAGGATCTGCTGTTGACAGACCTTTGCCACCTCACTGGCATCCGCCAGTGCTTTGGTCAAATCATGATTCTCGACTTGGAGCCGTCCCACTTCACGTTGCAGTTCAGAAGTTTCAGCAAGGCTCTGCTCCTCAGCAGCTAACAAAACACCAACATGGCCTCAAAGCTTGGAGTGAACATGAAATGGCTAGCCCTTGTAACGAAATGGGGATGGGCACTTCCAAGTGAAGAAAAGCCCACCTGCTTGCAAGGTTCCAATTCAGCTGTCCTTTTCTTCGCTCCACTGGCGACCCGGTGCATTTGTGCCTCTAACTTTTGTGTCTGGCGGTCGGCAGCCAGCCGGAGAACCCGCTGCCAGCCTCGATCAAGTAGAGGCATGTCATCACGCATCCTCTCTACGCAAGAACCGGAATGTAGGAGCTGGAATGTCAAACGTAGGATGCAGCTGCAAGCCGGGTTGTTAGCAAGAGCCACATCATGACATCATGATCGATTTACAGTAACAAATGCTGCAAGTAGCAATTAAACACGGCTCTTGACCAATCTGGGAAACCAGTTCGCCTGAGAAAACGAAACAGTTCATGTCCGGTAGTGGCTGGTAGATGCGGGTAGTTTTGCCGTTCATGCCCGAACGCCCATGAGTGAGAGGTTGCAAATGAGTTTCTGATGTATCTTCGACAGCAGTGAGTGTAACTCCAAACCGCTTCCCCGAACCGAAACACCCGTCCTGTGTACGAGACTCCGCTGATTCGGCCACTGGCGAGTCAAAAGCTTGGAATGTAGCAGGTATCCAGAAAAAGGAGACCTGCCAAATGGAGAGAACCCAAGAAGACTGGGTCCAGAATCCTTCCATTCCGATTTAGTAACAAGTGCCAAGTGCATCGCTATTAGTAGCGATGCACCTTGTTCCTAGTAGCGATGCACTTGTTACTAATAGCGAGCTATATGCCAACATAATTGCTTCAGAAAATGTGGCTCCACATGGCCAAGGCACTCTGCATCTGCAGGTGGAAGAAGAAAAACTTCGAACGCACCGATGCGTTGGTTGAGATCTGGTGTCTCTAGTGGACAACATGAGAGATCAATGCCATCCAGCTGGGAGCAAGCGATGCGCACCACTTCCAAGGCATTCCTACCAGGTGAATGCAAACTACAAGTGGCGCATCTAGTGCCATTCAAGTGTGTGGATGCAACTTGCTATGCTATGCATCTGTGGCACATGCCGTGCCTGTACTCCTGTGGGTCATGACGATGCCAGGATGCATGGGACTCACACTGGTGGCAAGTCTCAACTATTACTATCCACTCGTCTTCGCTGCGCAGCTTCTCCAACCTGGCACCTGCCGCACACCGGGGAACAAACATGTCAACACCTCTTGTGCTGCATACCGCTAGCTTCCACAACGACAACCTGCCGGAATGAAGACAATGGACTTCCCATTAAGCTGCCAGTCAATCGTTGCAATATTCTACAAAAGTGGTAGTGTCCTCCCGCAGCCTCGCTACTAGATGCTACTAGGTATACTTTGGGAAGTGACTACCCCAATATCTCATAAAGCCACGTAAGCTGTCCACCAAATGCATTGCAAACGGCTTTATACAATATAACTGCATATAATGAATATTATTTATATAATATATGATGCATGTCACCATGCCAAGCACGGCCCACCTACCAGGTGAGGTATCCGAACCACTCCGTCCGCCCCAGGTGGCTGCTGCTGTTGCACGATGACAGTCCTTCTCTCTTCGAGTACCTTGGAGCACTGTGAGCTGCTTGAGACGGACTCCGACCACAAACGAATCTTACACATTCAAGTAAGTAGCAAAATGACAAATACACTTGACCTACGGTCTATGCTGTGCGATCATGGTGCCAACAACATGCTTGCAATATCTTGATATTCTATGACATTCTCACAAACAAAGCGCATGTGTACTGTGTACATGTATGTTGTACAATGTCCTCTTTGCTAAGGCACTGCCCAAGGCCCACGGTCCAAACGTCTGGCCACTGCCACTGCCACCGCATTGATTCCATGAGTGCTTAGCACGTGATCATCAGATGCTTTGTGGCTCCGAGTGACCTGATTAAGATTCCGAGACAGATTGGGAGATGTTCCACCAGGCAAGCAGCTTGCTTCAATTGCTTCATGCTTCATGAATGATCTAGTGGAGATGAAAATCGACGAATGGCACTGAGCAAAAAGAACAAAAACACTCTTCTCACTGGCAGTGAATTGCCATTTGCTAAAGTATGCGGTGCACATTCTAACCTCCATACTGACTTTCCAAAAGAAGAAACGTGCTGGGGTCCTGGCCGCACTGGCGCTGGCAGGTCGTTTCAGCCGAAGCTTCTTTGCTTCAGGAGCTGGCCTTCTCTCGGGTCTTTCTGCAACTTTTTAGTAGCATTGTGTTGAAATACTTTGTTAAGCAATGGTTTGTGATGCTTTTCTTGTGATTAGCAGCATGAATTGCATGTCTAGTGACTAGTGACTAGATGCGGGTGATGCGATTTCAGATTGCACACAGAAACTCGGAGAACTCCGGCCTCCCTCCACCTTGCAGCAGAAATGTTTGGGTCCAAGCAGCAGCGTCTGTCATCCATGCTTCCAAGCGTGGGCGCAAGCTACAAAAGCCAGCCCACAAAGCGCACAATTGTGTGTTTGGAAGTGAATGGTCTGCTTGGGCGGATTGAAAAGAGTTGGATGTGTCACTGTAACATTGGTGAGCCGAAGCACATTTGACATTGTCAGGTTGGGACAATGTACTTGTGACAGCTGCTGAGCCAAACTGTGAAATTAACCTGACCAGCAACTGGAAGAGGCTTGTAATTCTCTGGCGTGCGAACGATGCAGCATCAAGGCACATCGAGCGGATCAGTTCCCCTTCACATGCATCATGCCCTCGTGGAACTCAGCCCCTTAGGTGTCCAACTGCCCTCGAGCCAGCAAAGTCCCTCGACAAAGTTCAACCTCAGCGAAGGGAAATGAGCACCTGGCTGCTGGCTATATATAACTCTTAAGGAGAGCCATGCGTCCCACCGATTGTTCATTTGGCAACTCAAGCTTGGATGTACTGCGAAGAGGTGTCACATGGCTTGGGCTCGGTTCCGCACATCAGTTGCCGTGAGTGCGGCGGCCTGTCACTTAGTTAGATCCAAGCCCTGGGACACTTCGGAAAGCAATAAGGAGCTTCTGAATTGTCCACTGTTTCCAGAAGCTTGCGACTTGAGGTAGTTAATCATTGCATTTATTGGCGTATCTTGGCAGAGTAGCACGGCGTATGTTGACTATGCCGTTATCGTTTTCAAAATTATGCAAGAGCTGCCAACAATGTCCATCCATCCATCCATCCATCCATCCATCCATCCAGTGTCCAGGACATGTATTGCCTGCACACGCACCAGTACCTCCTCTGCACTTGGGTTTTGCCGAGGTATTCGAACCTCACCAGACAAGCAAAAGCAATTCAGCCTTTGGTCACCTTAGACTGCCTGCTCAATGACTCATCGGTCTATCATCTTCAAGTCAAAAGTGCCATCACCGAAACCAAAGTTAAGAGGAAAGGCAATGTTTAAACGAATGAAAGAACTGAGCAAAACTGCGACGTGGAGCGACATATTCCTTCTCAACATTCCAAGGTCCGCTCCGTGGAGGCACGTGGTGGCGAGCCTGGAATTACCTGAAGGCCTCGATCCTCTGTCCTGCGATGGGTCCATCGGCCAACCCGATCTGCGCTCAGACACACGCCATCCGCGCAGATCTTTTTTCTCTCTTCGCAGATCGGCGGCACCGTGCGCATCCGTGCGCCTTGGTCGCCAGCGATGTGCCACGACCCGGCCACTCGGCTCCAGTTTTTCCTCAAATCTTTGAAGAGAAAGACGGATCCACCTCGGAGAGCGCTCGCCAAAGGTGCATGTCCTTATACTCGCCAGTCAGGTGTCCTCGGAGAAAAAAAAAGGAAGCACAGGAAAACCACACAGAAAAACACCTGTAATTCGACATTTTATGACATTTGTATGACATTTGTAACTGCAGTTGAGTTTGGAGTGGGGGGACACGCGTGCCTTGGCCCAATCAGTCTGGACAGGCCTATGCTGGACTGATACTTTCTTCCTCGACAAGGGGCTGAAAACGCGTCGGAAACCTGCAGGTATCAAGCGCTCATCTTGCACTAGCTGGCCGCCAGGTTCTTCTCGCCCAGGAACACAGAAAAGCTCCAGCCTGGCAGTTCCCACTCTCTCGAAATCGCAGCATGATCACAATCATTTAAACCTAATTAACATAATTTAACTGCATCGTCGTGGAAAAATGTATGTTAGCCAGCCTAACGAGACCGAGAATGTGCATTGAATCTACACTACACATTTCTCAACTCCTGCGTCATCATGACCGGGCCTTGCCACAGCGCTACAGACATACTGGAGATCCCGGTACATCGTGTCCTGAGCTGGGACATGTGTGAACCATGGCGTGTCTGATTTGTGTTCCAACACATCAAGGTACAGCCAACACATCAAGCACTGCCTCCAAGTCTCGACGAAGGTTAGGTTTGCAGGATCGTCAAAAAACGCTTCGTTCTCCACCCAAATCAACGGCTTATTCTCACGAATGGTCTTTGTGGCGCCAAGGACAACCTGGAAAGTGAAAAGGCTTCCCCTTTCTGTAAAACTCTGGTGGCATGGCGGAGTGCAAGTTGAGGTATTGCAAGCTCATATTTAGGGACATCTCTTTCTTCAACCCAAACTTTACGGCATCCTTTGCTGTGCAACTCTCATCACATCAATATTTATCGCTCCACCTGGAGCTCCATGAACTCGACGTCGATCTTTATGAGTTGGACTCGCCGGCTGAAGACGAACTCATCCAGCGGCTGCACATTGAGTGTCTCTTGCCGATCCTGCGGTAAAAAAATCATTCACGAACCATTTACAGTAGGTTGGAGGCCATCGCTTCTAGGTTGGCGGCCATCGCTATTAGGGGGAGGCCATCCTCATTAGGTTGGAGGCCATCGCTATTAGGTTGGAAGATGCATTTGTCAATTCATCCGCTATAAGACTTTAGGGTTTCGAGATCTCCTGTCCTCATAGCGAAGATTGGCCTCTTTGACTGCGGCCTCCGGCTTAAACTGATCCAGCACCCGAATGGCCGAGGGAAAGTTGAAGTTCGTGAGGTCTGGCGAGTAGGCAGGAACTTTCGCCTTGCTGGCTCCCAGCGCCACATTATATGTGTACACATTGCCAAGGCCATTCAACGCAACCTCAGCGACAGGTTGGGATAAGACTATGTCTCAAACAGCAGTCTTGCAGCTTCCCATTTCAAGCCTGTTCCTACGCGGTGTTTACTGATATTCATTCCAAGCCTGTTCCTGCTCAAACCCTTCCGACCTTCTTCACGATTCTCCTCGTAGAGTTGGCAGGGTATTTCAGCATTTCAGCACAATCTGTTTCAACTCCTGTATTCCGCATCATGTGTTTTCGCCTTTTAGTCAACTCTGATATTCTATGGTCTTCATGATGTTTGGGGAACTTGACGTCTAAGCCGTCTAAGCCTAGGCCTCTCAAGGCCAACAAGGATGTGACTATCGGCCATGAGTCTCTCTGCTCAAACGAGGTGCATTGGCATTGAGGTGCTGGAAAACCTGTTCAAAGGAGTTTCGACTGACTCCACTACCAGGAGGCACCTCATCTGCACCCCCAAAACCGGTCACTCAGAAAGGCGAGATTTCTCCACTAGTCTATGCAGAATCTGTTTTATCCAGTTACATTTTCTTGTGGTGTTCTATGCCGGGGCACTCCTATGGCAAACAGCCAACACACTCGAAAAACCAAGCGCGCCAGTGTTCGTTTCGACGCCTTGCGGAAGGGCTCGAAGGCATGGACCTCTCCATCAGGCCCCACGCGTTCAGCCAATGGGACGGTGAAGCCGCCCACATTGGCACCTCCGTTGGATGCCGGAGGTCAGATCCGCTGGGCTCACAGATTTCAACAGTTCAACGTTAAGCCCTGACTCTGGAGGAAACAAGGGTGGATTATGTAACTCTATTCAGCTAAGGCCTAAGGCCTCCCTTGTCAAGGAACCTTGACATACCTCAAGCAGCAACTGGTGGAACGCGTGCAACCTGGGTAAACACAATGTCAAACAAATATACTAGTCTTGGACCGGATGGCCTACATCGATGACCACATCACCTGATCCGCAGAGCGTCTGCAACGCGTAGGATTGGCCAAGGTCGAAGGTACCTAGCTGCCGTACAGCATTGCCAACGTTAATGTCAAAGGCCGGGGCAACGAAGTAATGTGGCATCTCTGCCAAATTCACATCCTGGAAACGGTGAATGCAGGACAAAATTGGCACGCTCGAATTCTGACCTGATATGATAGAACTGAAAAGAGTAGCCTGACTCACGGCCGCTTGCAACATCAACTACAGACAGTACCTCACGTTCCTGTACGTACTAAGTCACGCTGCGGAAAAAACGCATGTCCAAAATGCGCTACGCCACGCCAAGAAACCCCAAGGCAGCAAAGCTCATAGGTGAAGTACTCATCCCAGCATTCTGTTCGGCCTTGCGGACCGTAGCTCGTATCGCAGCACTCCGAGGCCTCAATGTTGTTGCGGTGGACACCTGCGAAACTGTCAGGTTTTCCACGTGGATGATGTGGATGCACATAGCTGGTCGATTCAAGAAAAGAAACGTGGAAGATGTGGAAGAGGTACTGAGGTACTTATTGAACACTTCCTTGGCACCAGGTTCTGAATCCGCTTTGTCTTGCAGGATTGGCAAGGTCTTTCTTCGATCAACTGCGCTTGTAAACCCCCAGGCCCGGCCGTGCGCCTACTTGATCCAACCAGCACAGCTTTGCACCACTGGTGGAGACTGGTGGCCAAGTGTGGTGGGCAGTGACCAGGGTTGGATAGTGGATGCCTCCGGCAAAAACGGCCTTCTCTCGTGGACGCCAGCGGGTCCGAAGTCGGTAGAGGCACTCGATGAAGGCCTGGAGTATATAACTCTGGTTGTTGGGCACCATGACTTGGGCACGACTGGTGGGTCATCGATATGGAAGTGAGGCTTGAGTTTGAGCTAGAATCTAGAAGCGCTGCTCTTCATACGTCATACGTTTGCCACATGCGTGGGCACATGAGCGCTGCACAATACAAAGGCACAAAAAGACCTGCTTGTAATTATAATCTTATACGGGCTTATACTCACTTATACGGTAGACTCTACCAACCCAAAACGTGAACTGATGCGCATCCCCGCCATCTTGTTGTCCTGATCCAGCCAGCTGCTCCTTGGCTGACAGAAAGGATGAAACAAAAAGTGATAAGTCATGTCATTCTCAGCCGTTTGCCTGAGCTTTCCCTACATCCTCTCCAGGAGTCGGAAATACAAGATAATCCGCCTTCACCTTAAGGCCAGCAGAAAGCATACTGCCATCTCACAGACAGTGTTTCGATTGGCATGAGGCTGCAGCACCCCGAACAAAGAACACCACCCACGGGTGGACCGATCAAATACCTGCATCCAAACCAGACCTCACCTCCACCCAAAACCAGGCCAATCAAAAACCTGCTCCATCTCTCTCGATCCTCTCGTCTGTCTCCCCGGGACACCGAGCTGAAAGTTCTCTGCGGCGAAGTCCGTCTCCTTGAAGCGCTGCAGGCACGCCTCGCGGCCGCGCACCTCCGCCGGGCTTTCGGGCAGCCAGTCATCGCGAGCGAGCCTCGTGCCCAGAGCGGACGTGGTGCAGCCGGTGGGGAAAAGAAAGCCACGCAAACGGCTCGGAGGAGGCAAATGACTGTTTGGTCTACGGAGTGCTTGGAAAGACCAGTTGGAAACCTGGCGGGGGGGCCAAGGAATTCATGAAGCTTGACAAAGTATGCCCTTGTCCGCTCCTGTCACCTGGGTTTCAATCCAAACATCTCAAAAACAGCTCGTCAAAGGAGTCCTCTGTGGTCCATGGACGTCCACGCTCCCAACAGGCAAATTCCCGTCGTTTGGGCAAGGTGCCCAACATGTAGCAAGCTCCCAAGCCAACATGCTCGCAGCATTGCACGACATGAGAAGTTGATTGCAGTTTGTGATCAACTTTTGGGCTCGCATGGTGATGCTATGTGTTGCTAAACCTGCTCAAGCCACCTCTCTCGAATTGAATTTCCTTGTTGTTCTCTTCCTCTCTATCTGTTATAACATGGCCCTGTCAGTTCTGCAGTGATGCATGTTGAGGGTTTCCCTTAGGCTTGTGAAGAAGCTCTTCAAAAACGAGGACCAACAATTTCAATGACTAAAACACAAATTCATCAATCCACTCAACCTTATAATCTGCGCAATCAATTCCATCATGGCAACTTGATGTAGCCCGTGCTCCAGGGCTCGATTCATTGTACCCAATGGAGGTCTCGTTGGGAAAACACACCAAAGCATCACACATCGAAGCGGGGCTTGCAAAAACGTTCTTCACTGCACACCACTCCTCGGCCATGTTCAATCCCCCTCGTGTATATAGACTCTATATGAAGAGGCTTTACAATCCAAATTGGGTGGCTCCATTATTTCCATTAATCAATATTCTAATATATTCTACATTAATAATCAGTAAGTTAAACGTCATTAATACAACCTGAGAAGGGGGGTGAAAGCCAGACGCCGTAAGAAAACGTCAAGGTGGTCACGGGGTGAAGTCGACAGCGCACTTCTTTTGCTGTCAGGCATGCGGAAATGCAGAGAGGTGCAAAGTCTCGCAGCGAGGGCCGGTATGATATACGCATGGCCTTGATCAAGCCCCATTCAGTGTTAGCGGGTAAAGGATAGAAGTAGAGCCCATGCGTTAGGAGAAAGGTTGAATTGAGCAGGACATTTGCAGTCCGGGGGGCAAAGCTTGAATTGAGCAGGACATTCACAGGTCGAGGGGGGCAGCCTTTCTCTTTTGGTTCAGGTGCGTTTTCGAGGTGAAAAAGGGCACCCCTAAGTAATTGAGGGGGTGTGTGTTTCTCCTGTCTTGTGCTGATCAGAGCGGACCGCGCTGAGCTGAATGTTTACTGCCAAGATCAGGTGATTGTAAATCATCGAGCACAGATGACTGTTGTTGTGGGGCGAAGTCGGCATTGCACTGACCTCTACTGCTGTTGGGCTGTTAGGCCGGGGAATTAGAAGGCAGAGAGGCGAAGAGTTTCGCATTGAGGCTCGATATGATAGAGCCTATCTACACAACGCCTGGATCAACTCCTATCCGCCAACACCTGTCATAGGATAGACTTCGGCTCGTACAAAAGTCAGTCCGACCCCCTTGGACATCTACAGCTTGGAGGGTGGTCTTTTGCATCCAGTTAACAGCCCTCTTCATCATAAAAAGGGGCACCCCCAAGCAACTCAAAGGAGAAAACAAAGGGCTGAGAGACGCACATCTCACTTTCCTGGTGGGCTTCCGACCTCTTTTCCGCCCCCCTTTCCTGTCCTCGACATGAACTCCCACCCCTTGTCGAAAGACTGTCCAAAAAGCCTATGCACACTATTCGACGTCAATTCCATCACTCGCATCACAACACCCCAAGAACCATATATGTTCACTGCCTTTTGGACCGCCTCCTATATTCGCTCTCCCCAACCAGGCTCTGGGTCACCCCCCCTATACTCACTTCGTTCGCCCATCGGCAACTCCAGCCTAGCCTATCGGCGGACTTTCGTGATATATATATATATATATATCCCTTTGGAATTGATTCAATTGCACTTCCCAAAAAGTTCTGTTGATTCTGAGTCATTGCAACACTAACTATATAATTATGCCACGATCTGGTGCTACAGGTTCGGCACGCACGGCAGGGCTCCTCGCCGCATCACTCTGCTTGAGAGGTGCTCCCATTGGGACAACATGCGCTGGACGAGCGGTGGCCACTGTATACACTGGTATTTACAAACCCGTATTGCGCAAATCATGATTGGCCAACTGCCCGACGGACACAGCCTTTTATGATGAACCCTCTGTGTGGCTGCTACCAGTCTTGCAATTAAGGAGCACTGCTTGGTGTTTGGGGCACTTTTCTGCAGCTGATTTCAACCTTTGAGTGTGCAGGGCTGATGATAGAATGTGTTCACATGCCGCATGATCAAGGCATGCAAAAGGACTGGTCTGGTACGGCTTTGGGGTAGGTGTGTTGCAGCAGCATTAATTTGATAGCTGAAGGCAGCCTAGGCTTCGAACCAGAATGCTGGATGCATGGGCTTCAAGCTGATGAGCTTATTGTCAAAACAACTGCACATGCAAATGAGCTGTGTGCCGGCCTTTGCCAAAGTCCGCTGTCTGCCTATGGAAAACTAAAAACCCCTGCCCAGTCCATCAGACTGGCTCACCATTGTAGGGAGGCTCACCTGACGTTGCACTTCCCTTACAAGCCTTTCACTCCATACCAGGGTTGAGCACCAAGAACAACGGCTAAAGAATGGTGAAAAAAGGAGCGTCTTTGACAAGCGATGAACAAAAGCATCCTATATCGTGATTATCAAACGAGCTCGCAGCCCAAAACGAAACATACAAAAACCCAAAATCAATGCCACAAAAGGAGGAAAGCGAGACTGAAAGGAGGGCGTGGCATGGTTTACTCAGACGGAGACGATCTCAAATGTAACATAGTGTGACATGGTTGGCTCAACGAACCCCTTCCTTGCTCTCTTTCATTGTGCCTGGATTTCGCATAAAGTGGAGCGGAGATCGCACGGCGTCAGAACCATAGTACCTTGCTTTTCAGGTCAGGGAAAAAGAAACGAACACTGTTAAAGGGATCCTTTAAACAAGGAACAAACTTGAAAAATAAACACATAAGTCCGACTAAGCAGCCATCCATTCCCATCCAGCTTTTGAAACAGGCAATGTCTCGCTGACACCTCAAGTTCCAAAATGATGAATGTGGGCTCTTGCTCCTAAATTTCAAGCAGGTATTCAAGATGTCGCTTCCCAGATCAGGGTTCTTCTTCTGCGCTCCCTTCGCAACATGTAACAATCCAAGGATTCCAGGCTCCTCAAAGACAACCTACGTGGGCCATTTCGTCAAGAAGCGGTGCCCTCCTCCGGAGTCTTGGAGGCACCAAAGCCTTTGGTCATCGCTGTGTCGATGAAGCCTTCAAGAGCATTGGCTCATTTATATATAAGAAAAATAATAGGGGGAGGCCATCGCTATTCACATGCATCCTCCATTATGGGCAAAGGGCTTTGCATGTGGGCCAGGCCTGGACTGCAGCAGCTCACTACAAGATCTGGATGTTGCTTGGCAAGCAACATGGTGTAGCAGTGGAGCAGGGCCTCCATCAATGTCAAATTCTAGCTGCCTGTAACATTGACAGCAAAGAACGATGCAAAAGCACATGAGACAAGACATCGCATACAAAAGCAAAGGACATGCGGTACCTTTTGCCTTCGACTGCACTCACACGACAAGTCTCCTGCAACGAATTCCAGCAGCAAGTTAAGCCACTTCAAGGTAGAACTTGTCCACCCCAAGCTGCGGTTTTTGTGGTCTCTTCACTCAACGATCACTCGATGAACAGAACAAAAGTCATGCCAGCCAGAAAGGATCATGATCTTGATGTAGGCGATGTCACCACTCTGGCATGCAATGTCCTTCACTTGCAGGCGGCCTGAAAGCTCCTCGATATCATCTTCAGCCAAGGTTTGAAAGTTCACCGGGTCTTCCTCAGAGCAGCCTTCTATTCGAATGCCCTTCACATTGGTGGAAGAGATTTTCACACTTGACACTGATGCTCGCTGGCTCAGTGCCAGCAAGATCTCCTGGGGATACAAACCGGTTGATATCCAGTAGCTGTCTTCTCTGCCATCGATGATATTGTCACCCGGGTGGTTTTCATCCAGGGATGAGACCATGATCACCTTTCCACCCACTTTCTTGGATGCAAGGTCCGGCATCGTCGTGGGACCGGTCCGGCTTTACCACGACTACGTCGTGTCTGAATCCCTACTTCGAACTACTGGCTGAGCCAATAAGGAGCGCATCCGGGACAGAACCATACAGAACCTAAGTCACCTTTCAGCCATTGCCTGCAAGTCACCTAAGCCATTACCTAGCCGAATATGTTTGCTCATCAATTCTGCTGGAACATGCATCTATTCAAATCCGACACGGCATCCCACCTTGGAAAGGCCATATCCGCCCATGCCATCAGCTGCAGAGCCCAGCCCAGACTTGGAATGTTCCAAGATCTGTTCCCAAGTGATCTCGGGGCTACAAAGCCTGAGCGATGAGAAAAGAGAAGGCACCGGCGTTTCTGCCCAAAAACCACAGAAATGGAACTATGATGACCTATGTAATGTGGCGTAGGTCATTTGTAGAGCCAAGCCTTTGAGTCTTCTTTAGTCTCTCAAGTGCAGTTGAGCTGCATCTTTTTCACCTTGGCAGCGGCTTGTGGATCAGTAGATGATAGATCGTTTCTTTTCTCAGGAGTGTCTGTCGACATTCAACCGAGCAAGTTGACCTAGACAAGAAACAAAATGCCGATGGCAGTGACACAAACATGAAGCACACTAGGCACCTCACATCAGGAGAGCCTAGGCTATGCAGTACGGTCTTGCAAACGAAAGGGGTGATGGGCCCCAATTTTCATCGATCCAGACCACTCTGGGATGATCCGCATTCAATATTGAAAATTAACCAGTGGAAGTTGCAGAAGTGCCCAATAAAAGATGCGTTTGCGACGGCATTTAGAAGTGGGAGGCAGCCACACTGGGTAAGAACCCCAATTGATTTGGAAGATAAACCTTGATTGTTCATCTACCTCTTGTATTACTATGTTCCATAGAAGGGTTCCTGTGCTGCCACAAAGCTGATCATTACCCTGAACACTCCCTGAACTTTGAGCTCTACCAATCCAACCCCCGTGCACACATCCGTCAAGCAGCACTTGGCCACATACATCGGCCCAGCACCAGACCCCATGTTCACAATACGTCCGGACTTGTCCAGAAGAGGCAGAAAGCCTCGCCCAAAAAAAAGACGTTGGATTTGGAATCTCAAAACCCAAACAAAAAGCTTGAACTCGAACC